AATCAGAGTCTGAGATGCAAATGAAGTATCCCTACCTTTTTGCTTAAATGGAATTCCGGGACGGAATTCTTTTAAGGGGGGAATATTGTAATATTCGGATTATTATTATATTAGATTCAATAATTTAAATCTTTATGTTTTTATGAATATTTTATGTGGGTGTGGGTGATATAGTTATTATGAATATTTTATTTAGAATATGTGGGTGTGGGTGACGTGGTTTTGATTAAGCCAACCTTTGAGGGGCGGTCTAAGTTTATCTGAATATATTATGTAGAAGTGTGTGGGTGAGGGTGACGTTGTCATGCTTAGCCGACCTTAGAAGGGCGGTCATACATTTACTATAAATAGTAAGTGTATGTGAAAGAAAAGAGGGCTAGCACACCTTTGAAACACTTTCTACATTAGGAAAGACTCCTTGGTGAATCTTACGGTTTGGCAGAAAAAGAAGAAGAGAATTCATAGCTAGGATATATGATTTCTAAAGTGAGTGTATTAAAGCTTTGAGTATAAATTGTTTACATACAATTTAGTAGTATTTGGAACTGGTTATTATGAATATAGTATGTTGAAATATATGTTTAAGTCTGGGTAAGTTATACCAGAGGCTCTGGTCGTATGACCAGAAGCTCTGGAAGAGAGACCAGAGGCTCTGGTAGATAAACCAGAGGGGCTCTGGTAGGGAGACCAGAGGGGCTCTGGTAGAGACCAGAGGTGCTCTGGTCGAATATGTGAAATATATTACAAGTCTGGTTAGTTAAAACCAGATGCTCTGGTCATGTGACCAGAAGCTCTGGTAGAGATACCAGAGGGGCTCTGGTAGAAAGACCAGAGGTGCTTTGGTCAAGTATGCTCTAAAATATATATATTCTAAGTATGGTTTGGAACCAGAGGGGCTCTGGTAGAGATACCAGAGAGGCTCTGGTCAAGAGTGTTGAAATATATTCTAAGGCTTAGTTCAACCAGAGGCTCTGTCGTGTGACCAGAAGCTCTGGAAGAAAGACCAGAGGGGCTCTGGTTCGAATATGTTGAAATATTTTCTAATGTGTGGTTTAGAACCAGAGGCTCTGGTCATGTGACCAGAAGCTCTGGAAGAAAGACCAGAGGGGCTCTGGTCCTAATTGTCGATATATTTTCTAAGTATTGTTTGAAACCAGAGGTCCGATGGACCGAAGCTGTGTGTTTGAAATGGCGGTGTAACCGCGAGAGAGATGAAATGGCGGTGTAACCGCGAGAGAGATGTAATGACGGTGTAACCGCGAGAGAGATGAAATGGCGGT